ACATGAAGATTTGGAAGATATTTAGTCTGGCCTTGGAAAGAATGAAAAACCATGTCTAGGAAAGAAACTCCAGGTGTGTGCAAGCCAGGTGACAGAAGAGCAGTGTGGCTCGAAGGGAGGGTGTTCTGGAAGGAATGGAAAATGGCCGCGGGGATCTGGGGCTGCGGAGGGTGGGGAGGGGTGCTGCCGTGTCCACCACAGGCCTCAGTGTAAAGTGGGGGACAGAACAGGTTCAGGAGACACCAGGGAAGGCGGGGTCCTGCCACTTGCTGCCTGGCACTGCCACGGGCCTCTGCTCCTGGTGTTCCAGGGAGCCCTCCTCGGCCAGTCCCCATGTGGCTCCAGTGGGCCCCGGTGTGGCATACGCCTCACTTCATAGGGCACAAGCGAGGGGCTTTGTGACCTTCACCTCATGCTAATTCTGCAGGGGAGCACAAGGTAGAGGCCTGGCTTCCTCCACCTGGATTCCAACGCGGTGTTGGCCAGCCTGGGAGCCGGACAGACACCTGCCCGGGGGCCAGAGCCACCACAAGGGCCCCCCGCAGGCCAGCAGCCTGTGGTCAGCCCTTCTGTATCACGGAATCTCTCTGCCTTCTGCTGTCAGGAGAAAACTGTGCTTTTAAAGGGCTCATACCATGGACTCAACCCAAAACATGTCCTTTTTGATTAGCTCAAAGTCTGATTAGCAGACTTAATTATGTCTGCGGAATCTCTTTTGACATGCAACGGGACACAACTGCAGCTGTGAAGCTTCACTGCACTGGGTCCTGGGGGCTAGGGCAGGCCGTCTCCAGGGGACATTTTAGAGTTCTGCCCACCACATCTTCCTAAGCCATTCGCCACTGCCCTAAATGGTCGAGTCTTCTCTTGATCCACGTGGGCTGCCGTGACAGTCACCGTGGACGGGGGCTTAAACAGCAGGCATCTTTTCTCACAGTGCCAGAGTCGAGAAACCTGAGGTCCAGCTGCTGGCCAACATGGTTATGGAGAGGACTCCCCACCTTGGTTTGTACACAGACACCTTTCTGGCTTGCGGAATCCTCAAGCGGCAGAGAGCGAGCATCTCAGGTCTTGTTTACAAAGGCACTGACCCCATCCCTGGGGCCTCCACCCTCATGACCTAATTTCCTCTTGAAGTCCCCTCCCAATACGACCACACACAGATTAGGCTTCAACACCGTGGCTCTGGGGGACACAGACATTGGGTCCACAGCACCCCCCCCCCCGCTGTGCTCTGTTGTGTTGGACAGTGTCCCCTGCCCAGGCCTTCCCGGGCTCACAGGGTGTGTGCACACCAGCTGCTCCTTCTGAAGGCTCCAGCCCCTGCCAGACATCTAACCAGAGTCTCCTGTTGGAGCTTTTCTCTGGAAAGCTTTGCTGACCCTCTAGAAGCCCATGGGGGTCTGGTCCGTGTTCACTCAATGCACCCGGCATCATCTCAGGGCACCGTCACAACCTTGTTTAATGGGACATAAGCTCTCTGAGGGCAGAGACTCTGGCCACAATGAGCCGGAAGCAAAAAGGCGCTGAACGAATTCTGACAACCGCCACCAACCTGCTGATGGAAAACAGCGCCCAGGGACGGGCTTCTGTGCAGACGCAGGCCTTCGGCTCCCATTTGAATCTCAGGCCTGATTGCAGTGTGCTGGGGGTTCCAACTCCAAAGATAATTACTAGCTGCATGATTTGGGCACAAAATTTAAACTTTCTCAATGTCTTTTAAGCTTGAGGTCTTCTCTTACATGTTGCAGAATCAGCAAACAACACAGAAAGGTGCTGGTTTCTTTCTTTCTTTCTTTTTGCGGGGGTCAGGGGGTGTCAGGTATTGAACTCAGGGCCACTCAACCACTGAGCCCCTCCAAGCCCTATTTTGTATTTTATTTAGAGACAGGATCTCACTGAGTTGCTTAGAGCCTCGCTTTTGCTGAGTCTGGCTTTGAACTCGTGATCCTCCTGCCTCAGCCTCCTGAGCCGCTGGGATTACAGGTGTCACCACTGTGCCCAGCATGGTGCTGGCTTTTTAACATATTAAGTGATACAAATTAATGTGACATTTAAAATCCGGAAACTGCTCAAATCTCAGAGAAATGAGTAAAAAGGCTTCGTTGGATTCGGCCTTCTCTGCAGACAAGCCAGCTGTTCCTCAGTCGGGCCATCGGAACAGCAGGGAAGCGGCACCTGGTCATTGCCATGGCGCCTCTCCCCTCCCCCACCCGGCGCCCCAGGCCCCCTACCCAGGAGGAGCAGGCACCACCAGGAGGACCGCTGCTCCAGGCACTAATACAAGGATCATCTGATTTAGGTGCAGCTGGTTCTCATCATTGGAAGGAATCTAATTGTCGAGCTGCCATCTCCCACTGTACTGGCCAAGGACCGTGCCCCAAGAGGCTGCAGGCTCCACGGGGCTCAGACCACGAGACCACAGCAGCCGCTGTCCTGCGGGAACTGGGCGGCCTGAACAGCCTTGCTGGCCAGGATGCCAGGTGAGACTTGTGCCGTGCGGGTAGACACGGGCCGCGATCTGGACACGCACATAGGACCCCAGAGCCCTAAAGACAGCAGGGGGCACACTGTGGCTTCCCCCGAGCAGTCCCTTTCCCTGCCCCCCTGTCCCTCCGCTTAGGGATGGGACAACTGAACAACATGACAGGGAAGGGATGTGGCTTTGTCCAATCACTCATCCCCGTGGTTAGGGACAAGCCTCAGGCCGTGCAACGAGAAGTCGTGATGTCACAGTGTGTCTTTCCTCTGGCCTCTTAGAGACCCCACAAGGGCCACTGACATAAGGCATGCGTGATTGTCACAGCCATCAAGGAGAATGAAGTGAGATAATGTGCATGACCTCTGCTCAGAGGGGGAGGCTCGTCACCAGGGCCACTGAGGCTTCCCAGGAGTCATGGGAAGAGAAAGAAGACAGCTCCTCCGAAGGAGGTTCCGGGAGGCATGCTCTAGAACCTTCTCTTAGAGGCACACACTCCATTCTCGGTCATCTGCCACCCCAGCTCTGTTCCTTCTGTTCTCAGAGCTTTGCCCGGGGGCCATCGGTCTGAGTGGCACCCTGTCCCCAGGTTGAGGCGTCCCTTCCTCTAATCCACGTGGTTCCCCTGACACTCTGCCCATCAAGGATCATAACCCCTCAGGGCCATGATTCAGAGTGGCCAATCCCAGCTCCTCTGTCCCTCAGTGGCATGGACAGATCTGAGACAGGAGCCTGTGATAAGGTGACCCAAGAGTTCACTGGGGACTGAGCCATGCAAGTTGGCAAACATGCCCTCTCCGCCTGCACCATGGTCTCTGCCATTGAGGAAGGGTTGAGTCTGCAGGAGACCTTGAGGCCACCTGCAAATGAAAAGAGGGGACAGACTGACTGCAGCAGAGTCTGGGGTCCTCTCCACTGACTGACCAGCTACCCATCCAATCCCATGGGGTCCCTAGGCACCTGGCCAACTCACGAACCAATAAATTGCCTCTTTGATTAGAGCGAATTGCAGTTTCTTTCTCTTACCGCTAAAAACTCCTACCTAACGCGCACTCTTCAAATTCCGTCACTTATATGCAAGATGTACTTTGCGCCTTTATTAACTATTAGTTTCTAAACAGGGGTGGCCATATTTGGGTGGTATCAGCAGAGGTCAACGCAACTTCGTCATAAAAAAGAGAAAATATTTTAAGTGGACTTATTAGAAAAATTCAAAACCTGATGACTTTGTATCAGTCCCCAAAATGGTGACGGCCCAACCAGAGAGACCACAGTCCCACAAGGCCCGCGATGGTCCTTTCCTTCCCATCTGGCCTCAGGAAAGAGGACGGGGACCATCCCAGCTCACCTTTGAAGCAGTCAGGTCCCTTGGGCTGAGAGAACTCAGGACCAAGTGCGGGTCACATCACCATGCGCCCTCTCCTCCAGGCCCTGGGCCATTCGGCCAAGATGCTGGGGCAGCGGGCGCGCTCTGCTCTCCGGCCCTCCACCCTCTCCTGGTTGGCGCCCTGCAGTCCCACCCACCACTTACTGCTGGCCACGGAGTCCCCAGCTCACCTTCCCCTCCCAGAGAACTGGGAACTTATAAGAAGGGAGACCAGGACACAGAGGCACACAAAGGGACGAGGCCCTCAGGGATGATGCCATCTGCAGATCAAGGAGAGAGGGCCCAGGAAGAACCAGCCCTGGGACACGGTGACCTGGGACCACCAGCCTCCAGCATGAGACGGTGTCTGAGGTGTGGGCCCGCAGTCTGTGGTTTTGTTACAGCAGCCCCAGCAAACTCATACTCAACGGTTTTGACACAGAGGACTGAGGTGCCAACATGCTTGGGGACAGTCTATGGACGAGCAGCTGGAAGAGTGGGGAGGCTGAAAGCAGGCCGAGCAGTAGAGACGCTGGGTGGAAGGAGGCCGGGATCGGAGGAGGCCGGGGTCAGCAGAGGCATTGGTGACCGGTTGCCCAGGGGGAGGGGCTGGGCCCACCAGGACGATGTCAGCCCAGCACTCTGGCGAGGCCGAGCTGAGGACATAGCCTCCGAGGCAGCAGGGCAGCCCTTCTGGGGTTGGGGGAGGTTAGCAGTGATTGAGGAAGGGGCAGAGTCTGGGAAGCAGTCTGGGCAGTGAGGATGTGTGGTGCTGCAGGAATGTTCTGGAAGGAGGAGCTCTGGAGTGCAAATGGAGGAGAGGAGCTGATGGTGGGGGCGGGGTTCAGAGGGAATGGGAAGGAGGCCAGGCAGGCCCCCAGGTGAGGAGGCGCAGCCTTCCTGGGGACCCCCGCCCAGCCCAGGAGGGAGGGGTGCAGAGGAAGAGCACAGCACTGTCCCTGCCCCTTCTCTGCCCCTCCAGGCACCTCTTCCGGCAGCCCTCCCTGGCTCCTGCCACCTCCAACTCCTGCTTGGTTTCTGAGGTGGGCCAGGGATGCACAGTGTCAGTGACAGGGACCCCGCAGGACAGGGATCCCCACCCGGTACGGCAGAAACTGTGACAAACTTGCTAACGAACGCCAAAGAAAAAACGCACCTGCTTTCGTCATTTTATTTCCTTTTAAATGACACTTGGAAACATCAGGAGTCCATCTGCACCTCACCGTGATCCTTGCAGACTCCAAAGGTATCATCATAGAATTCGCAAACTGATAGAAATGATAGAAAAATATACCTGAGAGAAAAAAATCCCAAAGTCTGCCGGCCTCAGGGCCCAGATCTGAGAGTCCAGCCCTGGCCCTCTCCCCTCCCCCGGACGGGGCTGCGCGTGCGTGGGCCTTCCAAAATCCAGGGGAGACAAGGGCTCCCCAACTCTTACCAGGAGGATCATGGCAAAGTTGCTCAATAGACCTTTCAAATTTCAAAAATATTTCTCCAAACACAAAATAAATATAGAAAACGTTCATATGAGAAAAGACTTTTTTGAAAAAAAAAAAAAAAAGATGGTCCAGTGTAGACCAGACACCACTGGCTTTTCAGAAGGAGCCCAAGTTTATCATCTCGATCTACAACTTAGAGCCACCCAAGTCATTGCGCTAAGCTAATGACTTTTATTAACGATAAACACCATTTTGACAAGTCATAAATAAACACACATACCACTCCCGAAGTGTGACGTCATAAGGTCTGGTAGATTCTCCTAATATTCAGGAGACGACAGTTTCAAATATCCCTCAGTGACATATAAATTGAATTTCAAATCATTTAGAAAAAGCAAAATTTGACCACAAAGTCTTCTCGATTACCCTTTAATGACATTTCTTTTTTTTTTTTTTTTTTAAACAAAGTTGGTGTTACTTATTTGGACCTTTATTTATATGCAGTGCCGAGAATCAAACCCAGGGCCTCACACACGCTAGGCCAGCGCTCCACCACTGAGCCGCAGCCTTAGTGACCTTTCCAATCACTGTGGATTTTCTTGATGTCGTATGGGACCAGGTAAAACAAACCACCTCTCCCCCGGCTGGCTGTCCTCGGGGCAGGCTGTGACCAAGGCTGGCGCTACTTCCTTGGTCTGCCTCTCTGGGCACTAAGGGGCTGGATCCTGGGGCCAGCGGGCCTCACATGGACTTGCCAGGTGCATTTTCGAGTGGTGCCGACTTCACACGGCCGATCGTCAGAAGCCTGCCTGCCTCAGGCATGAGGTCTTGCCCAAGGTAGGAACGGGGCGGGGTCCCATGATGTGACGGCAGGGGCAGCCCTCAGCGGTGGACCAAGCATGAGCACTTGAGGCCGGGGCCCACACCCGGGCACTCAGGACCAAATGTATGGCACAAAAAGTCATATTGGCCTATGGAATCGGTCCTTCCTACCTGTACACATGTATGTACGTATGCATAGCATGTATGTAAGTGTAGCGGTATGTCGTATGTATGGATAGTGCTGGGGCTGGAACCAGGCCCTCGCTCTAGGGAGGCAGGTGTTTGAGCTGCGGCCCCGCCCTCTACTCGCACTTAGAAGGGATTACTCCTGATACGTGGGGGATACGTTAATTAATCAGAAGCTAGTTTTTGGTCAGAGGCATTTGTCTTCCCCATGGTGTGAGCTCGCCCAGCCCTCTGGCTCTTCACCATGCCAAGGGCAGCCTGGTTCAGCCTTGGCCTTCAGGGTCAATCTCAGAGCACCCGGGGCCCTTCTGGAATCAGACTTCAAAAGCAGGAAAGTAGAGACTCAGGTGTAACTTCCCAGCAGCCGGGAGTAGAGTTCCTTCCATCCTCCCTCCCAACAGAGCAGGGGACCTTTCGTGCCCCAGAGACACAACACAATACCCCTGAGGACCAAGAGATCAGTCCAAGTACCTCCCCTCCACCAGGCCAGAGCCAGGAGCCAGGACAGAGAGAGGAGTAAGGCCACAAGAACTCCCGTTTCCAGAGAGACGGCCTCGGAAATGGCCAACACGTCCATCCTGCTGAAACCCATTCCTGATATGTCCATGATGGGAAGAGGTCCTTCCTAATGGGAGACACCAGAAAACACCACCAGCACCTCATCTACCTTTAAATGATGCACGGCGGCTGTGACAGCGCATCGTTGGGCTTGTTGATTATTTAATCCACCTCGGAGCCAGGGACCCAGGTGGAGCGTCCGGGAGAGCCACCGAGGCCCGGGGTTCTTTCCTATGGCAGCTGTGGGTGGAGCGGTGAGGGAGGGGACGCTTTGAGGTCTCTGCTTATGGAAACCCCCCGGGCTCAGGAGGAGCTGGGTCGGCCTCACTATCTCACTCCAAACAGCCCCAAGGTGGAGCTTGGGAAGGCTCTGACACGGGCTCCAGCAGTTCCTGCAGCTCATGCTTCCATGGCTCCAGACCCCCGGAGGGAGGAACCATTTTTCAAATGAGAAAACCAAGGCAAGTAGGTGAGAGAGCTGAAATGCAGACCCAGAACTTGCAGACTGTGCTGCAGACAACACGGTCCTGGGGAAGAAGGGTCCCCCAGCACCACGCTGGAGCCTCAGACTAAAGTCTAAATACCCAACAGCTGTCCTTTCCACGGTCCATTTCACTCACTCCGACGGAGGTTGGGTCCATGCACACAAGTATATTAATGCACATTATCCTTGCTAAACCCAGAGTCCCTTCATATTTTCCTTTTCTTAGCTGAAGTCTAAAACTTGAGGGGGGGGAAAATTTTAATACATTACTTTAAAAGCCAAAGTGCGCATGTGCATATTTTTTGCACAAAAATGATCATACTCAAAGGAATCAAAAACTTTTGAGAATTAAATGATTTTGCTTAGAAGCTCAGTTCAGCTCTGGGCCAGGCTTTTGGCACAGCTGGGACAGAGGTGGACACCCAGCAGGAGCTGGGGCTCGCCTGTGAGGCCGCTCATAGGTGGCCTGACGAAGGTAACTGCAAACAGAGGTCACCGTGAAGTTCATCAAATGGGCAGTGACAGCTACTGCTCTTGCCACACGTCACTCCCTGCAGCCTGCAGGTGTGTGGCCTTCACATTCACTGACTCCAGGCCAGGACGCTCTGCCCTCGGGACATCTGGGCCAAGACACCCAGCTTCCCCAGGTCTCTGGGCTTTGTCATTAGACCTGCCGTTCCTGAAAATAGCTCTGGAGCTGGGGATGTAGCTCAATGGCAGAGCCTGGCATTACCACACCCGCACACACGCGCACACACGTGCACACACGTGCACACATGCACACACACAATCACTCTGGAGGTAAAGTGGAAGATGGAAGGAGGCAGGAGGGCCCGTGAGATGGATCAGGAGGAGGTGGCCTGAGTTTAGCTGAACCAAGATGGTGGCCTAGACAAAGTTCTAGGGCGAACAAGAGGCCAGACCTGAAGAACTGGCAACATCAGACGTGGGCAGAGGCAAGGTGGGGGCGGCACGGTGCAAGGATGGCCAGGCGAGTGGACAGGTGGAGGGTGAGGAGCTTTCCTGAGACCCAGAGCTGGACAAGCCAGGGCCTGGGGGAGGGAGGCCGTGAGTCTGGCTGTAGGGGTGGGCCTCTGGCACCTCCCTACGGGAGCCAGGAGACCTGAGGCTAACGTCTGAACTGGGGGCAAGACTGGGGGGACCTGCGAGTGTCTGCGCTCTTGGATTCTCGCTCCTCTTTACCCAGCGGGGTGTGTGGCTACAGCAGTGTGTTTAGACGAGCAGGAGTGAATTTTCTCATAAGCTGTACAGCGAGGTGTCCACTGTGCAGAGATGAAGGTCAGGAGGGCCAGTCTCCTCCACTGCCACTGGGCACAGAATTGAGGCACCAGCTCCCCAAACCCAGGCTTTCCGTGCAGAAAATAGGGGCAGGGACGGATCTCCACGGCTCCTCAAGCTCAGCAGCCCCACCTGCCCTTGAGAGGGCTTCCTCGCTCACTCCAGTGATGGCATCTGCAGACACAGGGATGGGGACCGGGCCACACACCCGGGACAGGAAGGCTGGAGAATCTGGGGGCCCAGGGCCGTTGTTCTGGGTCACTCTCCCCAGGAATTAAGAGTCCACAGGCCGAGGCAAAGAGGCCGATCGCTAAAATCATCAAGGAGAGGAAGGCAGGCGTGGCTGAGGCAAGATGGCGGCACGTGGGGCTGAAGTCGGGCCCCCAGGCCCCGCGCCCTGTCTGCCTTGCCACGTGAGGCTGCCCCTCACAGAGGTCGGGGGCACTGCCGTAGAGCATGTCCTGTCTTTGGTTCGGGGGACGATGACGACACACTCACTGACTCAGCTGGAACCCAGTGCCTTCGTGTCACGGAGACTCTTCACTCTTCCAGTCCCCAGTCACCTTTTCCCTCTAAACCGCCCATGAAGGTCAATTTGGTTCCACTCAACAAACACTTGTCATCATCTACCCCGAGCTAGAACCCGCCAAGAACTCAGCGCGTGTCCGCGGGAAAGCAGAGACCTCGAAGCTCACACTCACGTCAACTGAGTGATCCATAAACAACGGAAGCTCGTTGTCATAAATAGTCCTGCCTCGTTTGACAAGGGCACGGAGGATGTGGGGCAAAGAAGGAGGTCGGGGTAGTCCTCGTTGAGGAGGTAGCATCTGACGAAGACTTGAGGGGACAGGAGTGAGCCATGAGAATAACTGAGGAAAGAGCTTTCCTGGCAGAGGGAACAGTCCACAAAGACCCCGAGGTGGATGTTCAAGAAAGGGCACAGAGACCGCTGCGGCCGGAGCAGTACTGCTGTTCAGGGAACAGCAAACAGCCAGAGTGAGTGAGGGGGGAATGTAAGGGAACAACAGAGGCAGATGATGGTATGAGGAATGTGGCTTTCACTGGGAGATGGAAAGCCACTGGGGTCTCTGAGCAAAGAAGTGAGATGCTGTGACTCCATCCATTTTGTGTTACTACCACACAACACCTGAAAGTGGATAACTTAATAAGAAAAGAAGTATGTTTGGCTCACAGTTCTGGAAGTTGCAAAGTCCATGAGCATGGTCCAGCATCTGGAGAGGGCCTCTGTGCTGCATCATCTCATGGTGGGAGGTGGAAGGGCAAGAGGAGGTGAGAGCCAGCAAGCAAAGGGGGGGCCAACTCATTTTCCTAACAACCTAGTCCTGCAATAACCACACTAATCCACTCATGAGGGCGGAGCTTTCCACACCTAAGCGCCTCGGTTAGGCCCCGCCTCCGATAGGCCCCGCCTCCTAACACTGCATTGGGGATTCAGTTTCCAACACAAGAACTTGGGGACACAGTCAAGTCATAGCAGATTCTCTGCTCTACATTTTTGGAGGCTCACTCCGGATGCTCTTGGGGACAGACTAAGGGGATGCATTGAGGGAGGCTGAGGGTCCAGGCGGGAGGCCACTGCAGAACTGCAGGTGAGAGGCGGCGGGTGGGCAAGGGTGGCAGTGTGAGGGGCACCAGGTGGACACGGGGTGAGGGCAGAGCCAGCAGCCTCGCAGCCCAGCAACACCTGCACGACTGTTGCCTGGAGCCACAGGAAGGATGGAGTGACCACTGAGGAGAGTCCACTCACTGAGACAGGGAAGGCAGCGGGGAGGGGCTGGGGTGGCTGTGCTCACCATGTAACAGAATACAGACAGGGGACATGAGAGATGGAAGACCAGAGGGGACCCGCTGGGGACAAGCGAGGTGCCACCAACACAGCAAGGACATTTAGAACACAGGACGAGGACTGGTCTCCCCAAGGACAGGGCAGCCGGGCTGAGCCCACAGACGGCAACCCGGACGCCAGGGCAAGAGGAAGAACGGGCAGAAGACATGGAACTGGCGAGGACAGGAGCCAAGGCCAGGAGGCATCCTGGACGCTGGTGCCTAGAACTGTCCAGGAAGTGACCGCTCCCTGCCGGGCCCTGTCAGGGGAGGACTGAGACCTGCCCCAGCAAGGCCAAGGCCTTGGGGCGAGGGGGACGTGGTCTGACGGGGGGATTTCAGGAGGACCCTGGAGGAGCGGCAAAGCCTGCGACTGGGGGTGGGGGCGGGGGGCATGCTGCTTAGACGGGGTGTTAGACGGGGAGGGGCAGCTGGTCTGTGTGCCCAGGGGGTGATCCCACATTGGGAGGTGGCTGGAGGGGAGGACAGTGAGGTCCAGAGCAGGAGGCCCAGCCTCCAGGTGAGACGAGCTGGGACTTGAGTACAAAAGCAGAGGCCGCTGGAGCCCTGCAGCTCTCCAGGATCTGGTGGGTGACACGTGGTGGCCGGAGGAGTCTGAGAAGGGTCCCCAGGAGTGCAGGTGGAGCAGTCAATGTGTGAGCTCCAGCCAGCCCCAGGACTGTGGGAGGGGCCAGCTGACAGCCTGGGAGGCCCAGGGCAGTGCTGTGACTCACACAGTGGCCCCCGGGGCTTGGGGTCCTGGCCTGTCTCTGATACTTTCTGGCTACTTCCCTCAAGCTAGGTGCTCGGCCTCTCCCTCGGCCTCCTCATCAGCTGCCCGGGCAGTGGTCGTGAGCATTCAGATGAGCACACAGCGCCCTGGCACACCGCGTCTGCTCTCGAGACCACTCCTCTCTGATGCCTGTGAGTGAAGCCACTGTGCGACCAACCCACTCCTCTCCAGCCCCATCGGGAAACGAACATTGGGTGTCACTGGGAAAGCACAGACTCTCTGCCCCCATCCACGCTCTCACGGGGTCCTCCTCTCAGGTCCTGGGCCCCAAACAGCAGGAGCCTGCATTCCACGGCTTGGGAGCCGTGAGCAGCCTCTGGGTCCCTCTGCGCTTCTCTCATCCCACATAAGTGAGGAGGAAGGCCGGGTGAGCACTAGGGTCCCTGCAAGTTCTAGATCATGGAATAATTCTTTCCCCTACAGAAAAAAACCATAAAGAAATACAGTGGGAGTCAAGGTGTTGCAGAAGGTCCTTGAAGAACACACGGAGGCTGTGGAAGGAGCCCACACCTGTCCTCACCTGTCCCTCTGCCAAGGGCTCAGGCTGGTGCCAGACCATCCACGCCAACCTCAGACCACCCACCGAGACCAGCGGCCACAGACACATACTGGACACAGGCCCTGGCCTCCTGCCAGACAGTCCTTCACTCCAAAGCACCATCATCTGACAAATCAGAGGCAGTCAGTCCCCAGGAACCGAGGGCCCAGGCTCTGGCAAAACCTGGGCTCCCGACGCCATTGCAGTCCCTCATGTTCCCACTGAGGAGGAGGCGCTTCCGAACACGCCCGCACGTTCAGAGCAGCCAGGACGAGGAGAACTTCCACGAGGCCACAGCACGAGCCAGACACGAGAAATGCCGTGCAGAACGGGCACCAGACCTTGGCAGCACACTGCCTTTCCTGAGGGCCAGTAGGAGCTCAGCCCGGCACTGGCCAGTTCCACAGCCGCATGAAGCCTGGTAAAGTAAAGAGTTAAAAAAAAAACCACAACGTTCCTCAATGAGGAGCAAGACACTCTGCATGTCACTGGCAGTGGCCAAACGGTCCCAGACCTGGCAAAGAAGTGCCCTCTGTTCACGCAGCTCTGCAAAATGGGCTCACACAATCCTCTGGGGGAGAGAAAAGAGGTTAAATTCCAAACCACAGGACTCAGTGGGTCCTTGGCCATGTGGGAAATTCAGTGACAATGACCTGGGGTCAGGTTGGGGGACGTAGACACAGGGAGACTCCCTGGGACCAGGGTCCACCTTAGTGTTTTGTAAATACGGGGTCCTTGAAGGCGGCTTGCTGTGGTCTAGCCAAATGCCCAGCAAGTTCCTGGAATCCAGCGTGCCCAGCGGCCTTCAGTCCAAACTCAGGGCCCTAAAGTACTCCAGGGCTATGGCTCGTCCCACTGACCTGCAGCAAAGAGACCAGGTGTCCCTGAAGGCTGGGGACAGGCATCACAACCTTGGGGACATCAGCAGTGTGGCCAGTCGCAACGGGCAACCCTGGATTCGGCTTCTGAGTCTAACTGATGAAGTCGGCAAGTCAGTGTCCACCTGCAGCTGGGCGAGGGCTGCCGCCACGCAGGCATGCCTACCCTCTGGGATGTGCCCAGGGCTGAGTGCCGCGGTGTCACTAATGAGGACTCAGGGCCCAGCTCTGTCATCCCCAGGGACGTAAGGAAAGCATCAGGCCAGGAGTGGAGGGGCAGGCTCTCTGGAAAGGGTGCCGGGTACAGCTGCCAGGCCTTCCTCAGCCTTTACAACACCATCCTCTCCCGAGGGACAGAGGGTCCCCGCTGGGGGCTGCCAGCCTGATTCCCGCTCAGCTTCCACGCCTGGTCAACCTCTGCTGGCTATAAACCTTGGGACAGCAGCTGTACCTCTGTGGCTACTGTTTCCTTATCTGTGAAATAGGAAGGACAGTGCCCACCACCCCCCAGGGACCTGAGCCTGAAATGGGCCAGTGCGGGAGGGGCCAGGTGCTCCAGAGGTGGGGCGGGTGTCGCCTGGGGCAGCTTGGTTTAAGCGCACACTATTCTAGTTTGGGTCTGGAGCCCTGAAGGACAGTGTCCTCCTCCCTGCGTCCTTCTCACTCCCTCTGTACCCCTGAGGATCCTCAGCAACGCCATCCAAGATCTCGGACCCACGTGCCACCGGGCGCCACTCAGACCTCGGGACAGTCTTCCTGGGAGGTCTGCAGGACCTGCCAGTAGATCAGCATTTCCTTGGGTGTGATGAAATGGCAGGCCACGATCTTCCTAAAGCGGCACACGGAGAAGCGCAACCCCCCGGGGAAGAAGGTCTGCTGGGAGTGGAGCTCCTCGGGCCGGATGTGCAGCTTCGCTAGGCAGAGCCCCACAAAGACATCCTCGAGCTTAATGAAAGGGACGCTCTCGGAGACGTTGTACACCTGGCTGGCCACGTCGCTGGAGAAGACGTAGCCGGTGCCGGAGCAGAAGGGCGGGTACCTGTCCCAGGGGTATTCATACTTACTCACAAACCACTTATTGAACTTCTTCCTGATGGGGTACTCGTTGAGCTTCAGGAAGCCCGTGAAGAACCTCGAGGTCCTGTTCTTCTTCAAGAGCAGCTCAGTCAGGTAGTGGACGTTCACAAACATGTCCGAGTCCGTCTTCATCACGAAAGCCACCTGAGGACAGAAGTAGTGGACCCACTCCATGCCCATCATGGTCTTGAGGGTCAGGTTGAAGTAGACGTCCCTGAAGTTCTTCTGGATGATGTCGCCGTGCTGCTGGCTCTCCTGGGCCACCGCGCTCATCTCGTCCTGGTTGGCCGTGGTCCCCAGGAGGAAGAATGTCCTCACCTGCCTCCCGCTCACTGTCCTCTCTCCCCCCCACGTCTTCCGGATGGCCATGCGAGCGGCCACCTGCTTGTGGGATGAAGTCACCAGCAGGACGAGGAAGGGAGGATCTTGCCTGCAATCGATGTCTGGGAGCTGAAGGAACGTCCCGTATTTTTTCTTGAAAATGAAAGGCTCTTCTTTCAAAGGAGCCATGCTGAAATACAAGCACAGCACTCCCACCAACAGCAGGCACACGTAGTAGGTCAGCCTCAACTTCTGGAAAGCCATCTGCAAGGAACAAGACCAGCCATCAGCCCCCCAAAGCAAGAGGATGGGAGGTGCGTGCCGAGACAGAGCGAGGCAGGGGTCCTGTTCCACAGCACAGTGGGGTGACTGTGGCTCGCACCAGGCGACTGTGTATTTTACAAAAACTACAAGAGAGGAGTGTGAACCTTCCCGGGACAGAGAAATGTACACGTTTAAGGAGACAGAAATGCTAACCACCTGATGGGATCACACATTGAACACAAGTATCAAATTGTCACACCGGACCCCACAAGTGTGTGCAATTCAAACCATAAAAGTAATTTTTAAACATTGTGAGTGCCCGTGCGGGTGGCTGAGATACAGGAAGGGGCAGACCCGCGTTTACAAACGCTGGCATCCCGCTGCTTCCAGAGGAGGAGCAGCATGTAAACACACAGGCACAAGGACTGCCTGCAACTCCGGCCCCGGGGCACTGGACAGAGAGCGCAGGGCACTGGGCAGAGGTCCAGCTCTGCAGCTGGCCAGCCCTTTGCCTCCGGGAGTCACGGGTTTGTGTCCAAGGTATTGGGACCAGGTCCCCAGCAGGTCTTCAGCCTTGCCCCCGCTGACCCGGGGTGGGAAGTAGCCTGCAGGACTGGGAACCACACGCCCACGCCTAGACTCGGCACTGGGTACCGCCTCCTCCTCCACCTAGCCACCCACTCCCAGAGGACACCCATGTGCGTCTGAGGAGCACACTACCCGGGATTTCTTACGCTGCCTTTTCACATCTCCTATCTGGTTTTCTCTCCTCTTCTCCCCCTGGTCTCTGCTGTTCCCGAGCTCGGGATCGTGCATGTTGACATTATAACATGAAGAAAGCAGGCAACTCACTGTCGCTGGGTCAGAGAATCTCCGGTTTGAAAGCGGAGTCACGGGGCAGAAGCCAAGAGGAAATCCATCACGAAGCGCTGTCCGTATGACTTTCCACGCAGCCCAGTGCTGGGATTGGCTCGTGTGTCAAAAGGATGACTCGTCCTCTCAGCAATCGCTAGGAAAAAAGAACAGGGTTCAGGTCCCCCGCGCCTCATCGGCAGGTCCTCACGGCTTGCTGTATCTGTAGTTGCACTTTGCCCCCTACCTGTGTGACCCTGAGCGTGTGCACCCCACTCACTCCCACCTCACTGTGATCGCCTGTGGAATGGGTACAGCTGAAGCCAACAAGGCCCACCACCAATCCGCCCGTCAACAGTCACCACGTGCAGATGGCTGCACATGCTCCCAAGTCCAGGGATGGCGCCTCACAGCTTTCCAACCGAGGCCTGGCGAACTGCAGTCCAGCTTCTAACACTTTACCTTCTCTGTGGAGCAGAGCGTCTGGCTGATGCGTCAAGAATTTAACACAGGTGAGAAGTCCATCAATCCCCAATTCAGAGGCTATGACTTAAAAAAACCTCATCTTGAGGGAGAGGCCAGAGGGCCGTCAAGAAAAGAAGCCGGTGGACTGAAAAGATGGGGAGTCATTTTGATGCCACAGAGTACCTCGAAACTTCATTAAGTCAAAACTCTAAATATATTCCCTCTAAAAGAAAGGAAGCTGAAATCCCAGCAGCTCGGAAGGCTGAGGCAGGAGGATCACCAGTTCAAAGCCTCAACAGCTTAGCAAGGCCCTAAGCAACTGAGAAAGACCCTGTCCTGTCTCTAAATAAAATACAGAAAAGGACGGGGGTGTGGCTCGGTGTTCCACGACCCTGGGTTATCTCCGGTTCCAAAAAAAAAATGAAACCAATAAATCAATCATAGAGCCTTCTGGAACCAGCTCCTCTTCAGGGAACTTCTCCTGAGGCAGACTTGGCCAAGCTCCTGCTCTGCTCAGAGGACACCGAGTCCCTGTCCAGCTGGAGGCCACGGTGACCTAAGAGGAATCCCTGCCAGAGTCAAAGGGAAGCAGGAAGCGTCTGCTCCGTGCCCCGGGATGCGGGAGTGCCCCCTTTCTCTCTGTGAGATCCTCCACCTGCATGGCCAGGATATGCAGGTCATTGGGGACCTAGCCGCATCCTCCCTACACTTTAGGGGTGGGGGGGCTTTTCTGCTTTGCTTCCTTCTTGGATAACTGGCTCTACTCGGCAGGTGGCTTCAATGGTGACCCTTAAGCTGTCATCGCCAGTGGACCTTTTCTCAAGACTCTTCCTGTGGATCTCAGTTCCCAAGGACAGACAGGCATGCCCCTCACTGCACTGGCCTCTGGCTGGGTATCAAATGGCATCCTGGGGTCAGGGTGGGTGCCAAGCCCAACTGGCCAAAGCTCAGCGGAGTCCTCTGCTTCCATGAGCAGCTGGGATATTTTTTCTGCCTACAGTGGAGTGACCCAGAAATGACCTCCAAAGTCACAGCTGGAGATCCCATTTACCAAGCATCTGCATCTTTGATTGAGGGCCAGGTACCCGGCCTTCCATGAGCGTGTGCAACAGGGGTCCCTTGTGCTGGGGCATGGCGCCTGTTGCTCTGCCACTGCACATTGTTTTAAAACTGACAGCGGTTGTGTGTGTTGGTGATCTTGTTTTCCCTGACCTTGGGGAAAACAAGATCACCCTTATTTCCAGTGGAGAACATGGTTTTGAGAAGAGGGAAAAAGAAGTTTCATCCACACACCAGGGGGGTAAAGTAAATCGGACCTCGGGACTGGCCCGGCAGCACATCTCAGAAACGGCTCTCTCTCAGGGCCACGAGCGAGTAAGGACCCCTGGCCCAGCACACCTGGAATGCAGTCTTTGATGCACCCCTGATGGGCAGAGTCACAGCTCTGGGACAGATGTCCCCTGTGTTTCTCCTTTACTAGCCAAGAAATAAAACTTCTTTTCCCCTTTTCTCAAAACCATGTTCTCATTATTGGATTGGCATCAGGAACAAGGACAGAGCTTTTGCTAACAAGTGGATTCTGGGAGGCACAGAGTTAGCACTGAAACTGCAGCTTCTGGGAGGAGCAGGGTGTGCCTCCAGAGGCCGATCCCGGGCTGGCTGGGAGGCAGGGCACCAGAGCCTAACGCCACTCCGCCTTACAGGGACACAGCCATGAACAGGAGCCACCTCTGCTAGGGAAGCCTCATTTGAAGCACACCTGGGTGGGGCTGTGAGCCTGGCCAGCCAGAAACATGGGTACAGTCCCCCCAGCAGGCTGTGCGTCCAGGCTCCGCTCTGTAACCTGGGAGCACATCCAGAGCCTCAGCTCGCCCAGGAATCACACGCAAAAGCAGCTCCCCTCCCCCTGCTGGCCTCTGGGAGTGCCTGGAGGGCAAGCCTGGGGGTCAGGGGCCTCTTGCACCTCTCCTATGCCCCAAAGGGCTGGGTGACATCAGGGAAGGGCTAGCTGAAGGGAACCCTGGAGTCAGCGTCCTAACCCCACAGCCCATGGAGGAGGGTCCAGCACCCTCCCAGGCCCGGTGGGGAGACCCAGCCTTCAGCCTGACCTACAGTCCACAGAGATAAAGGGAGGGAAGTCCACGTGGTCAAGGACTAGAAGACCAGAGGGGTGCTCTGGAAAGTTCCATTCAAGACGGGTGGGGCGTCACCTCCTAGACCTGAAGGGAAGAGGTCCATTGTGCAGAGCACACAGCCAAGTCCAGTCACGAGGCTGGCCTGGGCCCTACGAGGAAGACAGGCTGGAGGTCCGTTTTCCATGAGGTGAGGGGAGCCGAGGCCCAGGGCTGCTGGCCGCCACTGCTTTCTTTTTAAAGAAGATGGCCGTCCACCCGAGTTGTGAGGCTGCAGACATGCGAACCCTGGGTCTGCCGCTGGGATCAAGCAGGGGGAAGGACTCTCCGAGGGTGAGCCACAGCAGGCCACCCCAGTGCCCCCCCAAGCAATCACAGAGCAGCGGTGCTCAGTGAGACCCCCAGCGGCCCAGGTCCACTGGTGGCAACCCCAGCCTGGCATCCAACTCCCTGCTGCTGGCCCCAGAAGGTCAGGAGGCTGTGCGACTCTGGGGTGTGATGGTTAATTTTATGTATCGATTTTGCAATGACCTTGCAAGGATGCTGGGTCACATTACCTAAGGCCAGGTCTGGGAGGAGTGTGAGGGTGAGATCGCATTTGAATTGGCGGAAGGAGGGGAGCAGATGGCCCTCCCAGTGGGGGTGGCATCCATCACTCAGCTGAGGGCCGGAGGAGGACAAAAGGACAGGGCTCCCCGGTGAGGGACTTCCTCCTGCCAGGAGCTGGGGCTCCAGCAGGCTCTTCCTGCCTCAGAGCTGAAGGGAAACGTCAGTGTCTCTATCTCAGGCCGGTGGCTTTGGGACTGGAACCCACACCATCAGCTGGACCTCCAGCGTGCTGACAGCAGGCCTGGGCACTTTCCAGCCTCGGCAGGTGTGTGGCCAGTTCCCGTACAAAGCCTTTTGTGGGCACGTGGCCTGTGGGCCCTGGTGCGCCCCGGTGCGTGCAGGGAGCCCCCGCCTCTCCTGGGCAGCTGTGAAGGATGTTCAAGCCTGGGATGTCGAGGTGGCAAAGGTTCTCTGCGTGCTTACAGAAGAGGTGCCAATCACGAAGAGGACTCGGAAGCCACCCACCTACCACAGAAGAGCGCTCAGAGGCGGGAGGCGGAGTCCCCAGCCACACAGCCCAGGGGGGACTTCTAAGCTGCTTGGATGAAGGTCGAGGCTATCTACCTGTCATTAGCAGAGTCCAACAGCTGGCTTCACCAGGGACGCCAGCATCTGACCCCTCTAAGAAAACTGTCAGAGGGACAGGCAAAGATCTGCACTCGAGGACCCACTCCCACGCGGGGTCCCCACACCCCCTCATACGCTGCTCCTGACAAACAACAAACACATCACAATAACAAAAGGAGTCATCTTTCAGTAGAGCGTGGGGGCAACTGGATGTCCATGTAGGGAGAGATGGGCCTAATGCCACACGAAGCAGTCAAACCCGGAGAGGTTACATAACTAAAGCTGAAAGGAATGCCGGTAAGACTTCCGGAAGAAACACTCTGATCTTGGACTGGTTCATTAATGTCAAACAGGACAGACACACACACACACACACACACACACACACACACACACCAGGCTGGGATGATACCCCTACATCTGACACAGGACAACTATCCAGACACGTAGAGGATCTCTACAAATCATGAAGAAAAGGAGCAAAACACCCGCCATTTTACAAACATAAACTGTGAACAGATATTTCACAAAAAGAAGATACCCAAACAGCAGCATGCCCAAGAAAGGTCAGCACCACCAGTCATCAGGGAAAGGCAAACACAGCAATCCTGAACCACCACTGTCACCCATGAGCGTGACCAAAATGAACCTGGAGACAACTCCAAGTGCTGCCAAGAACATGAAGCAGCGGGGTCCCGATTTCCGCACCCGCGGGCACGGCAGTAAGACAGCGCTGTGGAGGGCCGTGTCCTTGTTAGCAGTGGACCTAAGCGCTGTGACCCAGCAACCAGGCCTACACATGCCCATGTCCAAAACAAACAAGTGCCCGTGTCCACCCAGAGACACGGTGGAGTCGTTCACAGCAACAGGGCTCCTACTTTCCAAAAACAGTTCCCTGAGTCTGGGCCTGAACAGGAGAGAGAGACCGTCATTTGAAAAGGGAGTCGTTTACTCTGATAAAGGACTTGAGTAATAGGAGAGTAACAGTAAAAAAGCACAGAGAACTCCAAAGCACACAGGAAGAAGCCACCAAGGAAAAGCCCCCCAAGCGCAGGCTGAGCCCCGGGGCTTGCTGGTCAGGCACATCCACTCCAGTGACGGGAGGGAAAGTCCCTGTGGAGCCACATCAGCAGAGCACTTGACCTCCAACCTCTGCAACTCACCGGGCACCTGCCCTCTCGGTGGCCCGGAATGCTATCTGGCGGGTGGGCTCTGCCTCAAAACCACCAGGGGGCGTCCCAGGGGGAGGCGCTCTGCTAGGTGCCGCTGCCTGCTAAGCCAGGGCCCTGGACTAGGAGGAGAAAACCCTCCCCTAGTTCTCTAGCACCCTGTGCCAACCAGCCTGCAGGGTGGACCGCACAGGGAAAACATTCAAAGGGCCCAG